GCTAACCCCATGATGTTTTGGGTTCACAGTGGATTCCCTGGGCTGCGATCCCGTGGTGAACCGAGGCACATCCGCTTTCTCCACAAACCCAGCCCTGTGCCCCAGCGATGGCTTTGATTCTGTCGACACCCAGGAGGGCTGCCTGCTCTGCCCCAGTGGCAGTACGGCTGAGATGAGCCGTAGTGCCACCCCAGCTGGTACCAGCTCCCTGCATGAGCCACCAGGGTCGCCTCAGTGCAGTCAGCACCGCCCGCCACTCCCTGCACGGCACGGTGGGGTGAAGCACTTGCCCGGCTCCACGGCCAGCAGCAGTGTGTCTGGCTCGAGCCCAGGCAGCCCGGCTCGGCGCCCACCACCTCTCCCAATCTACCAGCCCAGGGGAAGCCCCAAGCCGTCCAGAGTGGTCTGCCTGCGGAAGCAGGGCCCACTGGGGACTGTGCCCCGTTTCCAGCACCGCCCTGTGCCGGGAGGAGGCCCACAGGAGCGCACTGTGAGAACAGGAGCAGGCCCGCCGCCATCACCTGCTTTCTCTCGGGCACCCCTCATTACTGCTGTTCGGACGAACTGCTGTGCCCCGCTGCCAGGTGTTGGGGTGCCAGGGCTCTCTCAGGCTCTCACTGTCCCGCTCCCTCAGAGACTTTCCCAGGACAGATGCAGTCCACAAGCTCACTGCTTATTAAAGGTAAAAGAGGAATTCAAAAAGGAAAACGAAGTGCTCTAAAGAAGTCGTGCCCTGAAGAAAACAAAACACGTCCTGCCTCGGGGCGGGCACTCCAGAGGCAAGCGAGCAGCGGCCCGCGGCCGGGTCCTCCTTCCCGCGGCAGCTCCGGGCCATCCCAGCCAGGGCTCCGCGCAGGCGCCGCCCAGGCAGGCAGGTCTCCGAGCAGCAGGCCGTGGCCAGCTGTCCCGCGGGCTCGGAGTCCACGCAGCTCCCCCCGAGCGGCGCCGATCCTCCACCTCCCGGGGAGCTGTGCGCGTTGGCGCGGCCGGGGAAACCGCGGAGCACGGCGAGACGCAAGCCAGCGTCTACGCGGACAGCCGTCGAGCGGCCCACGTAACGGCGGGAGGGGTGCTTCACCGTTAGGCTGGGGACGCAGGGCCCAAACGTGAGCAGCTCAGACTTCACTTCCCGCGCTCCGTTTACAGTCACCACTCAGCAGAACCCAAACCCTGACAGCGCTCCTACAGCCTGTGGAGGACGTGGGCACTCCAGATGCTATCCCCCGGCAGGCCAATAGGTGGCAGTCTAGGGACAGGGAAGAGGCAAACAAGGCTTGAATTTGGGCTTCGTTCCGCCCCTCAACGCGTGGGAAACCGTGGCCGCTCGAGGGAAACCCGTGGCTGCTGGGACAAAGGGGCAAACGGGAAGGCCAGAGCCTCTGGCTCCCGTCTGTCATCTCCCCCGGGACTCTGTCCCACGCACCCGCCAGGTGCCCTGGTTGCTTACGGAAAGGAACAGGGAGAGAGGGTCTCCCCAAACGGGGCGTGGCCTCCCTTTCCCGCCGGGCTGTGTTCACTGGTGTCTACTGGCTGTGCGGTGGGTATCACCAAATGATGCCGTGGGGTGGACCCGAGACTCCAGGGCCTCCTATACCGCGGGCAAAGAACTGCCAGCGTACATCCAATGGGACAAGAAAAGCTGCATTTACAGATCACAGGAAGAGGCCAGGCGTGGTGGCGCAGGCCTGTAACCCCAGCGCTGGGGAGGCTGAGGCAGGAGGATCGTTGTGAGTTTGAGGCCAGCCTGGGCTACAAAGTGAGCTCAAGGCCAGCCTGAACTGCAGAGTGAGACCCTGTCTCAAAAAGATTTAAAAAAAAAAAAAAAAAGATCACAGGAAGAGGCGCTCCAGGCCGGTCTGGGCTGGAAGAATGGGGCACGGACAGAAAAATGGGGGCAGGACAACTGGAAGGTAAAAGGGTGCACACATACACGAGCGCGCACACACACACACACACACACGCATGCACATCAGGCTTCTGCCACTTTAGGGAGGTGTGCCCCAGCCCGGCGCCTCTGTCTGGGTCTCCAGGTAAGAAGGACGGGAGTGACTAAGGCAGGGCCGAGTCATCCTGAGGCCGGGCTTTGACCAGGCACCCTCATCCCACGGTTCCTCTGACGGAGCCCCTGGGAAGGGGACTGGCTGTGGTGCTGCCTGAACTCAAGGGCAGAGGGGAGTGGCTGGTCCCCACTGTGCTATCTGAATTAGCACACTCATCCTCGCCCGGTCACTGACAATGAAAACGTTCTCAGTGCTCGGTCCTCTGGCAACCAAGACATTCACAGACACACAGGTGTGAGTCACAAGGTCGGTGTCCCCAGCCACAGTGCAGCAACCTGCTCCAGGGTCTACTCACCCGCCACAGGGGCAGCCAGGGCTGATGTGAGTCTCCCTGGCCTCCGCCCACATGCTGTCCTTTCCCGGGGAGCCCTGTCTCTCAGGGGGTCACCCCAGCTTCCCACCTTCTCCCCGCATGCGCTTGGACGAGGCCGTGGCCACCCACCCTCTGCCCTCAGAAAAGCTAACTTAGGTACGCACATTCTGTTACAGACCAGACCCCTAAGCTAGGTAGAAATACTGTTACAGACCGCTGAGTTAGGTAGAAATATTCCAGGCAGTCAGACAGGGCCAGGCCCTCGAGGGAGTCAGTGCAGAGGATGAGACATCACAGCTGTGGCCGGAGGTGTATCTGGTGAAGGCCAGGCTTCAGGATAAAGAGGGAATGACCAGGCCCGCATCCCTCCCCAGGGGATAAGCGATAGGCAACGGACTACAGTTGGTATCACCCGGTCCAATAAAGCCTAGTAGACTTTAGTCACATGGGGGGGTGACCAGGACCCCCGACCCCTCTCTTCCAGTCTCCTTGTTCTTTCCGTGCACACTTGCTCCGCGACCGCCTCCCCACGGGATCAACATTACCGAAGTGGCCACACTTGTGACCTTATTGATCAGCTTTGTCCCACGTTGTGCTCACGCGTGACCTTGCACCCACCTCGTGATTTTGCTCTGTAAGACTTCTTCTGAGAAGTGGGCTCGTTGGGAAGGCACTCCAGCCCCTCCTCTCAGGAGCCGCCTCTCCCTCAAGAACGTTCCTACTCCTCACCTCCACTGTTCCCTAGAATCCATCCTGACGTCGGGGAACTCGAACTCGGTGTATTGGGCATCTGGTAGGAGTGTCATTTGTTTCCCCCGTCACTTGGAGGTCTTGTAGCACCCAGGCTGGACCTAAAGGGTTTGGCACATGGCAGGAGTGACACTGACCTGTGCTGACGCAGCCCGGAGGCAGGGTGTGGCGTCACGTCCTGTGGGCTCCAGCACGTCACAGCCCCGCCCCACCCCAGGCCAGTCAGGCGCCCTGCACTCCGGGGCTGTGGCTCCCAGTCGGGTCTTCCAGGCCTCGATGGCCACCATGGGACCTGGGAGCTTTGGAGAGGACTTCCTTCTCCTGTACAGGCTGCAAGGCCTCACGGCCCTGCGGGACAGCTGCCGCCCGTCCAGGCTGCAGAGCTAGGCAAGGCAGCTTCTTTGAGGTGCTGCTTTGTATTTCTCTGGATTCCATACAGGCAGGGGGCCCAGGCCAGACACCCCCGCTGCGGGGAGAAGAGGAAACTTGAGGGGCGCATTCTCAGCTCACAGAGGTCTTCACAAAACTGTCCCTGATATTGCCCACCTGACTTATGTGGCCAAAAGGTGCAAGAAAATGCACAAGGCAAACAGAAGGAAAGAATGACTCAAAGGACTCTCACCCAGTGATCCATGGACAAATTTCCTATCATTTTTCTTTGTAAAGGGTTGAAATTTTTAAAAATTATGTTGGGTAACTGTGTAAAGTTTGTAATGTTCCTATCCTATTTCATAAATAGATGTATGTTTATTATTATGTGTTTCCTACAACAACCATTGAGAATAGTTAATGATTTTTCAATAGGTCACTCATGTATAGCTCTATTTTCTTTAGAAGCCACTTTGAAGATACCAAAGTATAGCACAACAACTCTTGATAATCTCCTACCTCTTTTGTCTCTAACGCACTATTATTTGTCTATTTGTCTTCCTGAGAAACTATTTTGCAGATAATAATATGTAAAACAATAACCATTGATAATTTCCTACCATTTTGTCTGTAATTTGCTAAGTCCCCCCTATTATTATGTTATCCTCGTTTTACTCTTTAAAAAATTAAAAAAAAAATTATGTTGGGATCCATTGTACGTGTCAGTTTATTCATGAGAAAATTTCTGAAAGTTTTTCTTCCCACTGTTATGCTTTTATTTTTATTTATTTATTTATTTTGTTCGGTACCGGGAATCGAACTCACGACCTCACGCTTGCCAGGCAGGCGCTGGGCTGCTGAGCTAGATCCCCAGCCCCTCACTGTTATGCTTCTGAAAACACAACTTTTAGTTGGGCACAGTGGTGTGCTCTGGGAGGCTGAGGTTGCAGGACTCAAAGTTCAAGTCCTAAATTTTCAGTTTAAGAAATGAGGATGGCGGCTGGGGATGTAGCTTGTGGTAGAGCCCTCTGGGTTTGACTCCCAGTGCCACAAAAACCAAGCAACACAGCCTGTCTTGCTGCGGCGCCTTCCTTGCACCGGCGGAGTGTGCCCGGGTTTGCTGACTAGCTCGGGGTGTGTATGGCGAGGGCCTTGCTGCTGCCTGCTCGCTCTGCCCCGGTGCTCATTCTGGGTTCTTCGGTAGACTCTGCTGAGGCAGCCTCGGCCCCGGGCACCCCTCCCCTCAGAATTCATGTCCCCACCAGCAATGACCTGGCCACCCTGCGAGCCGGCCACTATGCCCTCTACCCAGGCCCTGCACCCACCATGGGTATCACCGCTACCCTTTCCTGAAATCTGCTGGGGCTCCCTCACCCTGGCAATGGGTGTGGTGGCTGTTGCACCTGCCTGTGACACAGCGGCCACACGGGCACCAGGGAGGGGGCAGCTAGATCCAACCATGACACTCGTCCTAGGAAAAGACAGTCAAGAAAAACACCCACTTCCTCTCCTATGCCAAACACCCATTTATTTCTGTTTAATCCGCATCCGCTCCTCCATGCAGGGCAGCCGTGTCCACTCCGGCCGGCCTGCAAACATCGTACAGACCCGCCTTGGGGTCCTGGGCCTGGCTTCCCTACCGTCCACTCCTTCCCACCACCTAACTGCGCCCGGGTCCTGGGTTGGGCGGAAAGGCACCCATGGATCTAGAGCCCCTCGAATTTCGCTGCCCATGAGAACTGCATGGAGGTTCGTGTGAGGTACGGGGATGAGACCCAGGGCCGTGTGCATGAGGAGCGACGTGCCAGCCCGCCTTCAGAGGTCTGAGGGCCCCTGGTGCCCAAGCTACATTCCAGCCCCGTTAAACTGCAATCCCAGGGTCCCGGGGACAGGCACGGCACTGAGCCCCAGCCTGCGTGGAGAGCTTGGTGCGTGGTTGTCCCCAGGGGGCGGTAGATGGTCCCCCAGCTCCGTCACACGTCCCGAGCATCAGCTGCTGCCCGTGCTTCTGATGGTGGCGGGGGACTCGAGTGTCCCTGATCAACACCTAGAACAGAGGGCGGGTGGTCATCCCCAGGCCAAGCTCCACAAGAGCGGCAGACATGTTATCAGACCAGAAGGGTCATCTGTCCGCTGCCGAGCTCCAGGGCACACCACAGCCGCTTCGGAGCAGCGGGCCGCGGAGAACAGAACAACGGCGATCTAGCAGGCTCCGCATGGTAAAGACGGACCAGCGGCTCAGGCCAGCTCTGGCGAAAACTCCCTGTTGCTGACATCACATGAAACCGGAATTGGCCTCTTCTGTGGAGTGGGGCCTGTTCCTGGCTGTCCCCCAGCAGCCAGGCTGCAGTGGCTTGGACACTGGAAGTGACAGCTGGCAGCTGTGTGCTCACTCACTGTCATGACTGGCTCTGGGGTCACAATGACGGTGCAGGCATTGCCATCAAGGGTCCCGGTGCCTCCGGGCTGGGCCACCCCTGGGAACAGCGAGGCTCTGCCCAGCACCTGCTGCGTGTCTGTGTCCGGCCAGCTGGCATCCAGCCGGGGCGGGAGGGAGAGGCCTGCAAGCAGGTGGGGGCGGCGGGTGCAGGTGCTGGTGTCCGGATCAGAGGGACGTCTTCTGGCCCCAGGTGCGGTGCCACGTCTTGGACCCTGAATGCGATCTGAGCTGCTTCTGGTGGCCGGGAGGCGGGGAGACGGATGGCCACCCCCCGAGGCTCTTCATAGGTCACAGTGGCAAACACACTGCGCCTGTGCGCTCCTCAGGTTGTGTCAGCTCTGGGCACATGGCAAGGGGGCGGCAGCGCTGGACCCGGAGCTCCAGGGGCGCTGTCCCTGTCCCGTGCTTCCCCATCTTGTGCCCTCCTTCGGCTACACCTGGGGCCAGGCAGCTGTGCCACCCTGGCACGGGCTCAGGGGCACCGCAGGGTCCTGTCACCGTCTCCCTTGCACCAGGTGACACCGAGCAGCCTTGTGACTCCGGCCTGTCCCAGCATGAAGGTGAGGCCCCGACCCAAGGTCTGCCGTGTCATTCCTGGACCAGGAAGTTGATGAGGGCGGTCCTGGGGGACAGGAAGGCCTTCTGGATGCTCCGGCCCTGCAGCAGCCGGGCGCCCAGCTCACTCTGCAGAACCAGCTCTTGGACCCGGCCCTGGTCTCGGGCCACCTGCTGGGGCACGGGGACCTTGCCACAGGCTTTGTTGTTGATCTGCGGAGGGGAAGAGAGTCTTAAGGTAAGGACGGTGCGGCGGGGGTGGGGTGGGGTGTGTGTGTGTGTGTGTGTGTGTGTGTTGGGATGGAGCTGCAGGGAGGGGCGCTGTGCTCGGGGAGACACGGATGGATGGATGGATGGATGGACAGACGGGCGGACAGATACAGCTGTAGTGGGGGCAAAGCCTCAAACCCTCAGCCTGGGGCACCCGGCTGTGCCCGGGTAAGGTGGAGGGCTGAGCCACTGGGGACCAAGGCTTTGTCCACAGCAGGCTGTGCCCTTAGGTTTTACAGAGGTTGAAGGCAGCCAATTCCCGGTGGATGAAGTTGGCCGCTCTTTCTGATGCTGGCTGAATGGGGGGCCCTGTGCGTGCCCACTCAGCAACCAGGCCCACATGGCATCTCCTCAACACTATCTGGCTGAAAACGAGCCCGTCAGTACAAAGAAATTTAAAAACCCAAACCAGGTGTTCAGGGCCCATGCCTGTAATTCCAGCACTGACCAGGCTGAGGCAGGAGGGCTGCTACAAGTTTGAAGCCAATCTGGGCTCCGTAGTGAGTTCAAGGCCAGCCAGAACTACTTAGTGAGACTGTCACAAAAGAGCAATTAATAAAACAAAAAAACAAAAAAATACAGAGAATAAACCATGAGAGTTATTTCCTGTATAAAAGGTTTAAACAGTAAACCACACTTGTCATTTCAATCCTAATTTACCACAAGGAAAGAAAAAAAAGGTAGTATAGGATCATACCCCAGGGGTGCTCTGCCACTGAGGTACAATCATGGTCCTTTTATTTATTTAACATAACTCAATTTATTTTGTTTTTATTGAGACAGGGTCTCACTATGTAGTTCAAGGCGATCCTCCTGCCTCAGCCTTCTAAGTGCTGGAATTACAGGTATGGGCCACCACATCTGACTATGCTTGGCCCTCAAAAAAATTTTTTTGAGACTACATCTTGCTAATTTGCTTTAAATGGATTTTTTTTTTGGAAGATGGGGTCTTGCTATGTAGTCCAGGCTGGTCTTGAACTCGCAGGGATCCTCCTGCTTCAGCCTCCCAAGTGTTGAGATCACAGGCACATGCTATTGTGCATAGTCAAAAAAATTCACACAGCTTTTCTGAGCTGTGTTTTCCAGCACTGGATGACTGTGCACTGCTCACCTCTCACGGACACCCTCTCTGCACACATCACCCGACACACCCCGCCCAGGCACGGCGGAGGGAGGCGCCGTCTGCGGTGGCGGGAGGGAGGCCCTGTGTGGCCCAGGCTGCTGCCCTGCCTGTTCCGGGGCGTGAGCTCCCCGGCTGGCTCTCGAGCGCCGGGGATGCTGAGGTCACACTCACCAGGACGACCATCTGCACCTCGTCCGGCTGCTGTAGGAACTGCGGGTCCACGGTGGGCCAGGCCTGCAGCAGCACGTCGTCGTCCCAGGCGTAGCGGGCACAGTGTTTGCGGGGCACCAGCGCCAGGCCTGCAATGCCAAGGATGGGGTCACCGAGCAGGCTCCGAGGGCCCCTGGCCCCGTGCAGCCCCTGAAGTCCCCCGAGCCCCATGGGTTCAGCGCACACGGTGCCAGGCACGGAGCCCGACGGTGCCAGAGGCTGCACCGGTGCTGGTGCTCTCTGCACGCCCCTGACAATGCTGTGAGCGCTCAGGCCCTCCAGCCCCTCGCCGCCCCATCCGCTGCAGCCCCGGGAGCGGGGTCTCCATGGGGCAGGACGCAGCGGGAAGTCACCAAGGCCCCGCGCTCACTCGCTCTCACTGCGGGGCCGGGGTCAGACCTAGAGCCGAAGTGCACCTCAGCCCTGATTCCTTTGAAAACCCCCGTGCCGCAGGTTTCCCTATGGGACACAGGCTGCTTCTTAACTCTCTCCAGGGCCTCACACGTGCAGGCCACAGCAATAAACTACATCAGAGTTTTCTACGCAAACAGACGGCCAAGTCAATCAGAGGTCACGCGAGCCATTTCTACAGGTATCTCGCAACTCTCACGCATGACCTTTCGCAGCTCAGAGACACGTCGTCCCTCCCTGTCCCTGTCCCTGTCCGCTTGGCCCAATCCCGCCTGAAGATTTATGGGAAGCCCTGGTTCTCGCTGGGCTGACGGTTCTCCGGGGGGCAGAGCCCGAGGGGCTGCCGCAACATCGCTTGGGCACCTGGCTCAGGACCGCCGCGCTGCTGAGTCGGTTAAGGAACAACCGCGAGCGGAGAGCGCGGGCGGTGCAGAAGGGCAAAGACGCGCTTTCTCGGCTGGCGCGCTCCCTTCTCGTAAGCTGTGAGCCCGGAAACCGAGACACAAAGGGATGCTTTGCGGCGGCATCGACGGGGCCTCGTGCCCGCCACGGTCCTGCTCAGCGGGCAAGGCCCTTCCCGGGGGCAGGGTGACTGTGGACGGACCCCGTGATTCGGAGGGAGAACCCCGAGCTGAGGACAGCTGAGCCGGAATCGTGTTTGGGAAGACGCCCGCGCCCGCCTACCTGCCCAGAGCTCCGAGGCCAGGTGTGGGGCCAGCGGGGCGGTCATCACGAGCAGGGCGCTCAGCGCGTCCTCGAACTCAGTGCTGTGGCGGACGACTTGCGCAGAAGCTTGCTGGGGACGCAGAAGACAGGTGAGAGGACAGGCGTGCAGAGCATGCACAGGAGCGCGGCCACGCCCAGGCAGAAGTCCTCGACACCACCAGCCCCGGCCGCTCAGGACCGAGGCCCTTGAGGAATCAGCACTGCAGACGGCGGGCAGCGGCACGCACACCGCTGACCCGAGGGAGCGCCTGTCACCCCCACGAGTCCCCAAGGCCGGGGGGCGCCCCGCTGGGCAGGAAGAGCTGCGGTTAGCGAGGGGCAGCGCCCTGCGCAGAAAGAGGCTGCTCTCAGGCTCTTGGCCTCGCTTCCTGGGGCCAAGGGCCTGGTGCCAAGCACAAGGACCTGCTCAAAGGCTCCTACGACCCCAGGGCCCCACACCCCCTGCTGCGACAAGCGCAGCCACGGTCCGGGTGCTGGGCACACTGGCAAGCGCCCGACGCCCCGCTCCGCCTCACTGTGCCTATGATGCAGGTCGCTTCACTGCTGCAGGTGGGGTATATTTGGGGTCCAGGCCTCTGCGACTGTACACCTCCTACAGCGGCCACCCCAGGTCATAAGCGGCCACAGGCTGTGAATTTTCCACTCCACTGGCCACATCTGGGTTAGGAGTTTTCATATTAATAAGGGCTGTTGTATACCACGGATATTAATCTCTGTCTACATATATCTTACAAATGTTCTCTACAGCTTTCACCTGTCTATTACTATGGGCTACTTTTTTTTTCTTTTTGAGACAGGGTCTTGCTATGCAGTTCAGGCTGGCCTTGAGCTCCCTTTGTAGCCTAGGCTAGTCTGGAGCTTGCAGTGATCCTCCTGCCTTATCCTCCCAAGTGCTTCGATTACAGGCGTGCGTCACCACGTGAGCTGGTATTTTCATATTCTAGAAACATCTACTTTTTGGAGTCAATCTGTGGATTGTTTCTTCTTTACCTATCAGTGCTGGGGACTGGACTGTACCCTTGAGCTGGGCAGCCAGGCCCCCTTTCCTGAGGCCTGGAGAGGCCATATGCTAGAATGCCCTTGTTAATAGCGCTGGTGTGTGTTCCCCGCAGCTACTCCTGCTTGCTGGCAAACTCTCCCCTTGGCAGGCAGAACAGGAGTCACATGCCACAGGGAAAGGAGCCCTGTAAGGGCTGGTTTCCATTTTTAGAGAATAATTCAGTTCCCTGTGGGTTCAATAAACATTCAATAAACATAAAATACTAGGCATGCACCGGGAGGCCAGCGCCTGGCCCTGGGCTGGCCCCGATCAGGCTGGGCGCACTGTGTTTTGGGGCCTGCAGGTCACAGCCCTTGGCTCCAGCCGTCTGGAAAGGCTTCTGGCCACAGACAGGCTGCGGCCGCGGTGAAACTGCTTTTTGAAGATGACAGAGATGTGCTGAGGAGGTGCAACCACGGGACCCCGTGGGCCACTTTGTCACACCTCAACCTCCGCCACCCCCCCACCACCACCGCAGCAAATGCAGACGCTGGGCCACTCACCCAGAGGGCATTGCTGAGTCCTATGAGCTGTGAGATCACGGAGTTCAGGGCGAAGTCCTCCGTGAAGTGGGCAGTCACCTGTCGATAGAGCGGAATTACTCACTTTCCTCAAGATTCCTATATGCTCTCCAGAAGAAGAATTCTCAAAAAAGTGGAAATTAGCCACGTGTGGTGGCACATGCCTGCAATCCCAGCACTCAGGAGGCTGAGGCAGGAGGATCACTGCATGTTTGAGGCCAGCCTGGGCCACTTAGCAAGTTCGAGACCAGCCTGAATTACAGAGCTAGACCCTGTCTCAAAGAACCAAAAGAAAAAAAAAAAGCTGAAATTAAATGAGTCCAGTCAAAACTGTCTATAAAATAATGTTTACTGTCTCAAATGACCCTATGTCATCAGCAGACTTTGAGATTCCAAGTCAATGCTGTCCGCACTACTCCGGGCCGTCCCTCCTCCACCACACCTGAGCTACATCCCCAGACCTTTTGTATTTTTGAATTTTGAGTTGGGGTCACGATATGTCACCAGGTGGCCCAGGCCGGGCTCGACCTTGTCCTCCTCCTGCCTCAGCCTCCCGAGTGCGAGGACTGCAGCGCGCGCCCCACACCGGCTATCTCCTCTTGCGCGTGCGGC